GGGGAATGTGATGTTTTTGCTTTGAGTTGATGTTGGATTTTTCCTTGAGTATTCCCTTTGAATAAATATTCAAGTTATGCCTTTAATTGAATTCTGTTGCAAGTATGTCGACTTTATCTGAATAAAGTATGTATGTTTTGTTGGAGTAACATCGTAAAATGTGATTTTCTCTTTTATAATTAAGAGTTTGGGTTTATAGTGTTACACAATCAGCATGAAAGCTTCTCTTTATAAGGTTGTTGCCTTATCAACTGCTGAAGCCAAATATATTGTCCTTATTGAAGCCGTGAAAGAAGCATTATGGCTTGAAGGGTTTATTAAGGAACTGAAACTTCAAGGTCAAGTTTTCACTGTTAAATGTGAGAGTCAAGAATTCAGTCTATCATGAGAGAATCAAATACATTAATGTTAGATTGCATTTCGTCAGAAAAAACGTCGAGAAAGGAGAAGTGAAAGTACTTAAGGTTTCGATTGAATATAATAATACATGATATATAATCGTATAAAGAAGGCATTCTCATATGATATACCTCATATAAAGAGTATTAAACCATAAAAAAAATAGCCTAAATATTAAGATTTCAAAATTCAGATATTTTTTACTTTTTTTACTTTTCTTTTTCTGAGAGTGGGTTTGATGTTAAGTGTTGAGAGGTGTTTGAATTTCAATTTTCAAAAATTAATAATTCAGATTTTGAAATTGGAAAATATTTTGAACTTTGATTTAATTTGATTATAAAGGAATTTGTTGTGTCCAAATTTCAAAATTCTAATTTAAAGAATATTTGTAGAGTTTTATCATAAAACGTGTAAGTAGAGATATAATGAATAATGCTCATTCAATGTTTTAAAAGCCACCGATGATAAAATAATTAAACCAATCTATTTAAACATATTCTTATAAAGAAAAAATGTGTCAAAAGAACATAAAGAAAAATATAAATTTATCAACTTACTCTAATTAATAATAGAGTTTAATGTGATAGTTGTGAAAATAAATAAGTGAAATTTTTGTTTCCTAACATTAAACCCTAAATTATGATTATAAATAGAAGGTTTAGAGAATGATGGAAGGGTGGAATAATTTCAGTAGAAAAGGAGATTAAAGAAAACATGGCGACGGCGATTAGGTAAATCACGTAACTCTTTGGTTTCTTTCTTATTAGTTATGTTTTTGTCTATGTAGAAAGTTGCAATGCTACTATTATATTTTGTTTGTGGAATTTCATTATTATTTTTATCATGTTGCTTGCTGCAATTCTGCATCTCCTCCATCTCTACATAGCACCGACACTAATCTTCTCCCTATTTTGGAAAAGTGCAGTCTCTCACTTCCAAAATTTCTTTTTGTTTTTCTAGTTGTCTATAATTTATTTAATTGCTATAAATTTGTATATTTTTGTTTTATAAGTAAGCTATGAATTTTGTGAATGTTAGGAACGAAACCCTAGCTGATTTTTTTAACCCAAAAATTGGCATGCAAAAACCATAATCAGATTTGAAATTGAAACCCTAACCCTTTTTTTAATCACTCTTACCTTATACTAAATAAAAACTATTCTCAATTATTTTCTTGATTTCTGTTCATTTGATAAATAAAAATAAAATTTATATATTAATACATAGTATACATTACATTATTTATTTATTTACTTATTTATTATTATTATTATTAATAAGTAAGCTATGAATTTTGTGAATGGAAATCCTAACTGGTTAGGAACGGAAACCCTAACTTGTTTTTTTAACCAAAAAATTGGCATGCAGAAACCATAATCGGACTTGAAATTGAAACCCTAACCGTTTTTTTAATCACTCTTACCTTATTCTAAATAAAAACTATTCTCAATTATTTTCTTGATTTCTGTTCATTTGATAAATAAAAATAAATTTAATATATTAATGCATAGTACACATTACATTATTTATTTATTTACTTATTTATTATTATTATTATTATTATTATTATTAATATTATTATTATTAATATTATCATTATTATTATTATTATTATTATTATTATTATTATTATTTATTTAATGGCTATAAATTTGTATATTTTTGTTTTATAAAAGTAAGGTACAGGTTAGAGAACGAAACCTAATTGTATTAGGAACGGAAACCCTAACCATTTTTTAAAACCTAAAAACCACAAAATAACATATAAACGGTTTCATTTTAAACCAAACTATTAGTTATTTAATTTCCTCCTTTATTCTCTAATCACTTACATTATAAATAAAAATTATTCTCAATTATTTTCTTAATTTCTATTCATTTGATAAGTAAATATGAATTTTATATAATAATAAAGGTTATTATTATTATTATTATTATTATTATTATTATTATTATTATTATTATTATTATTATTATTATTATTATTATTATTATTATTATTATTATTATTATTAGCGTATACATTTTGTGCATATGTGTCCGTCTTAGCGTGTATTTGAATTGTGATAGGTCTATTTAAATATAATTTTTTGAATTTGTGATATGTCTATTTAAATATAATTGTTAATTGAAAATTAAAGTCAGTTTTCTTTTCAAATAACTAATATTTCAGTTGTTTATAATATTCAAGTATAAAGTGGAGGGAGTAATTAATTTTTATTTGTGTAACTTCTAAATAGTTTTAAAAAGTAAAAGAGAAAAGAAAATAGACTCCACCAAAAAAATATTTTGTCTATAGATTATTATTATTATTATTATTATTATTATTATTATTATTATTATTATTATTATTATTATTATTATTATTATTATTATTATTATTATTATTATTATTATTATTATTATTATTATTATTATTATTATTATTATTATTATTATTATTATTATTATTATTATTATTATTATTATTATTATTATTATTATTATTATTATTATTATTATTATTATTATTATTATTATTATTATTATTATTATTATTATTATTATTATTATTATTATTATTATTATTATTATTATTATTATTATTATTATTATTATTATTATTATTATTATTATTATTATTATTATTATTATTATTATTATTATTATTATTATTATTATTATTATTATTATTATTATTATTATTATTATTATTATTATTATTATTATTATTATTATTATTATTATTATTATTATTATTATTATTATTATTATTATTATTATTATTATTATTATTATTATTATTATTATTATTATTATTATTATTATTATTATTATTATTATTATTATTATTATTATTATTATTATTATTATTATTATTATTATTATTATTATTATTATTATTATTATTATTATTATTATTATTATTATTATTATTATTATTATTATTATTATTATTATTATTATTATTATTATTATTATTATTATTATTATTATTATTATTATTATTATTATTATTATTATTATTATTATTATTATTATTATTATTATTATTATTATTATTATTATTATTATTATTATTATTATTATTATTATTATTATTATTATTATTATTATTATTATTATTATTATTATTATTATTATTATTATTATTATTATTATTATTATTATTATTATTATTATTATTATTATTATTATTATTATTATTATTATTATTATTATTATTATTATTATTATTATTATTATTATTATTATTATTATTATTATTATTATTATTATTATTATTATTATTATTATTATTATTATTATTATTATTATTATTATTATTATTATTATTATTATTATTATTATTATTATTATTATTATTATTATTATTATTATTATTATTATTATTATTATTATTATTATTATTATTATTATTATTATTATTATTATTATTATTATTATTATTATTATTATTATTATTATTATTATTATTATTATTATTATTATTATTATTATTATTATTATTATTATTATTATTATTATTATTATTATTATTATTATTATTATTATTATTATTATTATTATTATTATTATTATTATTATTATTATTATTATTATTATTATTATTATTATTATTATTATTATTATTATTATTATTATTATTATTATTATTATTATTATTATTATTATTATTATTATTATTATTATTATTATTATTATTATTATTATTATTATTATTATTATTATTATTATTATTATTATTATTATTATTATTATTATTATTATTATTATTATTATTATTATTATTATTATTATTATTATTATTATTATTATTATTATTATTATTATTATTATGAAAGTCTTGGACTTAGCCTATATTATAGAGTAAATTGTATTTCTTGAGTACAAAAAGATGAGGTTCGGAATATTTTAGATCATTTATGGTGTTTTATTTATTTATTGAGTTTTTAAATATTTTTAAATAATTAAATATAAAATTTTAAATATAAAACAGACTATAAAAATCAATAAACTATTAGGTTTTAACTATTATAAAATTATCAATAAATTTGAATACCATTTTAAAGCATAATTATTCTTGTACATTATTATTCTTATATAAATAAAAAATCATTTTCTTTATTTGTAATCGATTCAATCAGCTTCAATTCCGATCTAATTTTAAAACCTTAAATCCCATATATAAACGATTGATGCTCAATCCAGTTTTAATTACATTGATTTAAAATATTAATGTATTTAATATTATATATAAATATATGTTAAATATATTTTTATTTTAACATACATAAAACATGGTCAGAAGCATATTATACAAATAACTCAGCTATTTTGAAACGGTTGTTGTGATATGATGCTCAGATATATTATTGAAAATAAAGATTGAAAAAAAACTTCAAAATAAGTTGAGAAAACATGCTCATAGATTCATATATAGTCATGTTTCTTTGTTTGTGTTTTGAGTTTAATTATTTATGATGGTTGTATGTATTTCTCATATTGCTATGTAACTGAAAGTTTGCAAGTCATGAAAGACAATGGATGGCAATACTCATAAAAAACACTACTTAGTCTCATTCATTCTATTTTGTTCTCTATGAATGTATCCATATATTATGATTATGAATTCATTATTTCTTGTAAAGTGTAGTCATAGAGAGAAGCTCTTTTCAAATGGAGATCTCTATATCGGCAGCTTCCAAGGCAACCTTTGTCATGGCAACGGAAAGTATAAATGGTCAAGTGGAATAATATATGAGGGTGATTTGGTTGATGGAGAGATATCTGGAAAAGGAAAGATGACATGGCCATCCGGAAATAAGTATGAGGGCGAATTCTATAAGAATCGTAGCCATGGTAAAGGCACTAAAACTTGGAAGGATGGATGTATCTATATTGGAAATTGGGAAAAAGGTAAACAAGATGGAGGAGGGATTATGAAGTGGGCTAAAGGTAGTTTTTTTGAGGGTTTTTGGTCAAATGGACTTAGGAGGTACGGAGTTTATAGATTAGCACAGGGAGATGTCTATTTTGGCAGTTTCAAGAATAACCTTTTTCATGGCAACGGAAAGTATACATGGTCAAGTGGAATAATATATAAGGGTGATTGGGTTGATGGAGAGATTTCAGGAAAAGGAGAGATGGCATGGCCATCAAAGTATGATGGTGAAATTTATAAGAATTACCGCCATGGTAAAGGCACAGAAACTTGCAAGGGTGAATATATCTATACTGGAAATTGGAAAAAAGGTAAAAAAGATGGAAGAGGGATTGTAAAGTGGGCTAGTGGTAGTGTTTTTGACGGTTATTTGTCAAATGGACTTTTGAGGTCTGGAGTTTACAGATTTGTAAATGGAGATGTCTACAATGGTGAATTCAAAAGTGACACTTTCCATGGCATCGGAGAGTATAGATGTTCAAATGGAACAATATATATGGGCTATTGGGAAGATGGAAAAATGATAAAGATAATATGGAAGATAAATGATCCTCAAAATATTGTTGGAGTCTTGTTTCGTGATTTCTCGTCCACATCGATCCCCGATGGTTTGAGTTTTATGACTATAAAAAGGAAATATAAGCAAGGAGATGTGGAGAAGATTAGACAGGATATTATGGACAAAGGGGAAAATAAATCTATTGTGAAGCAAGTAAAGAAGAGTTCACCTATATGGATATTTTTTAACACTTTCAAATCTAACCTGGAGCTTATTTTGCAACTTTGCAGCAGGTAAATTATTTAATCATCATTAGAATTACGGAATCACTGAAATATCATTCATAGTTCCTAGTAATATCAACTTTTTTTCTACTGTTCTGTGCTCAAATTATTTTATAGTCACAGCCACGTGTTTATATTTTCCTATCCAGCAATCAAGACGATGTGAAAAGAGATTATCTCATTGATGTAGTTAACACACACTACTGAAGAACATGATGATGAGGGGGACCAGTTGGTGCAGTCAGTTGCTTTTGGAGTCTTTTATGTGTTTGATCTCTAGATCTACTTTCCAATTTCAATTTTTGTATTTCATTATTCACATTTCACCTGTTAACGGTTAAAGGTCACAGGCATCTCAATTCCTTTCATATGGTTGTGCGAATTTTTGTTTTTTAATGCTTGCAGCCATGTTCATCATAGCATGATAACAGTATGAACTAATAAGACAATTTATTAAATAAAGATTATATAGATTTTTAGGGTGGGTGAGTGAAATATATCTCAAAGCTGAGAAGATACTTTTAGATGTTAATACATGCTGAAAATTATAAATAAGTTTTATAATATTTCAATTACAGTCTAGCACGATATATTACCTCGGTGATAGTTGTGAATAAACACAGTGAAGAAAAATTTTTCCTCCTAAATTGTGTCGTATGCATCCGCCATGATTAACACAGCAAGTGATGTCCAATGCGCACCTTTTCCATTTCCTTTATTCTGATCGTACTGCTGCCACAAAAATCCAGTCTGTTGATAGTTTCGCACTATATTTCTGCAGTACCAGCGAAATACATCATTTTAAAAAACTGTAAATATCTTTAACAAGACTCCGGATGTACAAAACAAAATAAAACAATACCTAATTAAATTGCTTCTCAATTCTTTGTACATGGCTTTAGCTCTGTCCTGATATGACCCATTCTCTGCAAGATTCATGTTTATCCCAGGATTAATTTTGAGATTCAACTAATAAAGTTGAATATATCCAGATATACCTTCAGAGTAATGGTGGAGTGCTGACAGGAACCTGTAATTCATGTTTATCCAAATTGAACCTCTCCAATATGGAGCATCACGCTCATTGTTGTATTTCATGTACAAGGAACTGGACAATATAAAAAACATCATTTTATGTTCACCTTTTAATCCACACGTGCTGAATAAGGCCACTCAAATTTAATCCATCAAACATGCATTAGAGTGTAGGCTGAGACCTTGTTGTGGCAAGAGAACGAAGTCCGTAGTCACTCCATAATAGGCTGCGATTTGAAATGTGATCAAGCTGCTTTTCGAGGATCCATGATCCCTAAATAAGATAGCAAGATTAAACAATGTCATTTTGTTTATTATTGTTAGGAAAATATTTTATTTCCATATTTAATTGTTATTTATTTTCTTTTATTCTCCATTAAAGAGAGAATTAAGTATTTTTATTATATAAATCAGCATTTGGTTAAGAAAAAAAAATATAACAGTTTTTATCTATTTCTTCTAATATGATATCGAGAACTCTGCGTTAGGATTACCGTAAAGCTTTCCACAACTAGTGGGGTTTGGGGCGTAGCCCCGACAAAAAATTTTGTTCGACCCGCTTTTTTATCCGATCCGATTCTAACAGAAACGACGACAGTTGCGGAAACGGCGACGGTCGCAGAGATGGCGAACGAGAGGAACCGTCAGTGGTAACAAACAGTGGCAATAGTGACGGTAATAATGAAGACATTAACATTGTTTTTGGCAGTAATAACGACAACAATGAAAACAGGAATATTGTCTTTGGTGATAGTTATTCCAACATAGACGGTAATGATCAAAAGGGTTCCTCGTTACAAACAATGGAAATCTGAAAACTCTTTGATTATTGCGTGGCTGATAAGCTCCATGGAAACTGGAATAGGTAAGTCTTACATGTTTTTGCCTTCTGCAAGGGATGTGTGGGAAGCTGTTAAAGAAACATACTCTGATATTCAAAACTCCTCCCAAATATTTGATTTAAAATCAAAGTTATGGCATGCGAAACAAGGTGACAGGAGTGTAACCGTTTATTACAATAAGCTATTGACACTGTGGCAAGAGTTGGATCTTTGTTATAATGACAATTGAAGGTGTACAGAAGACAGTGTTTTGTTTCTCAAGAGACAAGAAAATGATCGTGTATTCATGTTTCTCGCTGGACTCAATAAAGACCTTGATGAGGTAAGAGATAGAGTTTTAGAAAAAAATACCATTGTCAACTCTTCGTGAAAATTTTGCAGAAATAAGAAGGGAAGAGGCACAATAAGGAATTATGACGGGCAAGACACTACGAAGCTCTAAATCTGAAGGTTCAGCTCTGACTACTAGGAACCTTGACGAGGGAAGAAGGTCAGATAAAGTTCCTTGGTGTGATCACAGCAAACGTGAATGGCATACACGTGAAACCTGTTGGAAGCTCAAAGGCAAACCTCCGAACTAAAAGAAGAAAAGTGGTCGTGCATTTCAGGCTAGTAATTCTGATCAAGGGCAGCAATCCCCTACAACTCAGCTTCCATTTACTACAGAACAACTAGATAGACTGTACAAACTCCTCGAGTCTCCAACCCCTTCTTGCTCTATAGAAACAAAAGATAATTATGCACTTCTTAGTGTCAGTCCCAGTCATACTTGGATAGTAGATTCAGGTGCCTCTAATCATATGACAGGTGAATCTACTTTGTTCTCTTCATATAGTCCATGTGCAGGTAATCAAAAAATAAAAATTGCAGATGCCTCTTTTTCAGCCATTGCAGGTAAAGGGTCAGTTGTTTTGTCTCCAATATTAACTCTTAAAAATGTCCTTCATGTTCCAAACTTATCGTGTAATTTAATGCCCATCAGTAAATTAGCCCAAGATATAAATTATCAAACTAATTTTTTCCGATCTCACTGTGTCTTTCAGAATTTGAACTCGGGGAAGATGATTGGCAGTGCTAAGGAGAGTGGGGGACTCTACTACCTTGACATTGGATCTGCATCACAACTACTTTTAACAATAAGTTCCTGTTTTGAGTCTTTTTCTATTTTGAATAATAAAGATGACAACATTATGGTATGGCATTTAAGATTAGGTCATCCTAGTTTTCGTTATTTAAAACACTTGTTTCCTAAGTTATTTTACAATAAGATTTTTTCTTCGTTTAAATGTGAAGCATGTGAGTTTGCAAAGCATCATCGTTCCCACTTTTCAATACAGCCTTATAAACCATCAAAACCATTTTCTATTATTCACAGTGATGTTTGGGGCCCTAACCGTACTAGTACACTCTCTTTCAAAATATGGTTTATCACATTTATAGATGACCATACAAGAGTATGTAGGGTGTCACTACGCTAGAAATGACATTTAGCAGCGCATACAAAGACAACGCTTTTAGAAAAAGCGCTGCTAAAGAGGAATAAAAAAAAAGAAAAAAATTGATAACCAAAGGCAGCGCTTTCTCAGAAAGCGCTGCTAAATGGGGGTCCTAAGACAGCGCTTATAAAAAGCGCTGCTAAAAGGGGGGTCTAAGACAGCCCAAAGACATCGCTTTTTAAAAAGCGCTGCTAAAGGGGGGGTCCTAAGGCAGCGCTTATGGGGGGGTCTAAGACAGCCCAAAGACAACGCTTTTTAAAAAGCGCTGCTAAAGGGGGGCCCTAAGGCAGCGCTTCAAAAAAGCGTTGTTGTAGGTATGGTCTACGAGAGTGCTTTTTCCATAAAGCGCTGCTATATGGGTTACATTAGAAGGTCTTTGAGAGCGCTTTTTAAAGCGCTGCTAAAGCTATTAAAAAGCGCTGCTATAGGTTTATTAGAATTAATTTAAAATACCCACCAGAATTTTTATGAGAAACAGAACAGTCATATTACGTTGCTTTCGTTCTTTCTCTCTGGCGAACAAAGAGTGTTGCCCTATAAACCACCGTTGTCGTCCAACCGTCGTCGTCCGTCCAACCGTCGCCGTCGCCCTCGTCTGTTGCATTTGCAGTCGTTCACCGTCCCTCTGCTCGTCTGCATTGCATTTCCGCCATTGTTACGGTATTTGAAGTTTTACTCTGGTTTTCTTTTTTACGTATATTTTCACCATTGTTGCCGTAATCTTTAAGACAAACTGAATATGTTTTTATTATTTGAATGCAATCAAGTTAAGTCATTTTCTGTCTTCTTGTTGTATGGATATCTACATGTTAAGTCTCTCTGTTGCATGTTATATATTTTGTATTTTAATCTACATGTTAAGTCTCTCTATCATTGTTACGGATATTTTGTATGTTTTAGATTGACAAACAAGAGTTTGGATTGAAACTAATGAATTGCCCTGGGAACTGTTTGTTGTTTTTATATATTTTGATTCAATGTGATAAATTCAGAACAAGAGTACAATTAGAAACAAGGTGAATAGAACCAATACACTACGATAGTGAGAGATGAATAGAATAAAAAAAGTGAAGATAGTGTACAATTTTTATTTAGTTATTTGTGTTAAATAGTATGTATGGTTGCTACTGAGAATTGATTTTTACTGCTACTGTCATTTCTGTTTTAACGTGTTAAGAGTAAGTAAATTCATGGATTTTGACATCGCCAATATGCTGTTATACTGCGGATTTTTTCTTTTGACATATCAATATAACTGCTGCTTCTATGTGTTTGTTGTCACTGTTTTTCTTTTGGTATTTTTGGTAGCATTTTTTATGAGTACTGTTGTCTTGTTTTGGGTGAGTAATAACATGAGAATACTATTAACTTATAATTTTGTTTTTTTTTTAGTTTTATAATATATAATAAACTCTCAGTTTTAAATTAATGTATATGTTTACTGTTTTGTTAAATTTGAAGCTTTCACTTTTTTTTATATATATAAGTTTTAAGATTTCATTTTTCCAAGTTTTAAGCTTTCATTTTTAAAGTTTATACATGTCGCCGGTTTTTTTAATGCTTCCGTTTTTCTATTTCTAACACTGTTTCTATTTAATTTATGTCATTCTATATACACTTTTATTAGTTATGATAGGTAC